GTCAACGCCTGAGGGCTCCCAGTATGTGAGAGGGGGCAGGCTGGGCTGAGGGACACTCCCCCCCCCCCCACACACACCCAGTGCACGAATTTCATGCACCGGGCCCCTAGTGGTTATATAAGAAAATTGGTCATTAAACTTGGTAACATAAAAGTAGAGTTGACATGACTGAGAGGAAAGGGCAAGCAGAAATAAGAGTGGGGTGTTAATAACCACATCCAATATAATAGGAACTCAAGAAACACTGTCTGAGGGTGATAGATCAAGAAAAGGAAGTTGGAGCCCTAACTGGTTTTGCTCAGTGGATAGAGTGTCGGCCTGTGGACTGAAAGGTCCCAGGTTCGATTCCGGTCAAGGGCATGTACCTTGGTTGTGGGCACATCCCCAGTAGGAGGTGTGCAGGAGGCAGCTGATCAATGTTTCTGTCACATTGATGTTTCTAACTCTTTATCCCTCTCTCTTCCTTTCTGTAAAAAATTAATAAAATATATTATTTTTAAAAAGAAAAAAAAAGAAAAGGAAGTTGGAGTTTATATTTAGAACAAGAAAGGGAAAAAAAAGTAAGAGTTAAAAGTCTTTTTCTTTCATAGTGGAAAGTAAATAGATGACATCCTAAATTTAAAAATTAATGTAAGTACAATAGTTAAAGGCTCTTGCCCCCTCAAACCTGCAATTGGGAAATAATGTAACAGTTTCCTTGGCGATGAGACTTTTAAAGACCATTTCTGTGTGTACCTGAGCTTCCTCCGAGTGGTACTGAAAGGGCTCCATGTTGCCCATGACAGCAGTCCCCAGAACGGATAGGAGAGCCATCTTATGATCGGATGCTCTTGTTTTCTGCCAAACCACTGCCTGGGGAGAAAAGACACAGATAATTTTTAAGCGTTTAGATTGACTACATTCACTGCACCACTGATTTCTATATTTAGCCTCCGTTTATATCTTCAGGATCGTTTAGAAGAGATGCATGGAAAGAACAGATGCATGAAAAGGCTGACACAGCTCTGGTTCTGAATTTTAGTAGCTGGGTATGTTGCAGCATAAAAGTGATTTCACTTCCTTTAACCTCGGTTTCCTCCTCTTTACACGATAACTAAGAATATTTACCGCCCAGAGTTGCTGGGAAATGAAAATATATAATGGAGGTAGACACATAAAGCAGTGCCTGGCATAACACAGTTTCATTATGTATTAATTTTCTCCCTCTTCTAAACTTCAGAGTATATACTTCAGCATATATTTAAATTGTTCCTCTAAATAGGGTATTATTTGATTAAGGATAGACAACTATTCTATAAGGTTTCTGTAAATAGTTGAACTGGAATAATAATTTGGAATAATGCATACTTTTTAAAATTACCTTCATAATTACCTGTTATATACAGAGAAATTACAAAAAGCTACCTGAATCTCATAAACTCAAAAGCTGAATAATGAGCTAGCATTTTTTCACTGCAAATATGTAGCCGGGTGGCTTAAGAGAAACATGGACCACGATCAGGTGTGATATATTGCAATTTCTTCAGTTAACATATAGCCCAATTATAGTCAAATCTCTTGAGAAACCGTCAACACAAGTACATTCGTTCATTCAACAAATATTCACTTAGCCCCTCCTCCATCCCGAGGAAAATTTGTAAAGCATCACCTCAACATGCAAGGGGCAGGCAGAGGAAGGAGAGGAGGCTGCGAAGGTGTGGTCAGGGACAGGAAGAGCCGCAGGACAGGACGGCGCACAGAACAAAGAAGTTTCGAAGAAAGAAGACGTAGTCCTATGTGACTAGTGTCAAGAGATCAAGTTAAGAACAGAGATGTGGCGACCAGGAGGGACAGACTAAGGAATCTGGGATGGACTAGATGTGACACGGTGGCTGAGAGCCTGAGAAGGTGAAGCACAGAAGAACCAGGCATGTGACTGAGTCCCTGGTACCAAGAACACTGTCGGGGCCCAATAAACACCAATCTGTTGAAGGAGTGAGGAAATGGGTACATTTTTTCCTACAGAAAAGTAACTCTAGTGGAGTTGAAAACTAGCTCTTTGTTTTGAAAGATTAAGACTGCTGGTTGCCATACCACATGCACATTAGGAATCATGTCTTAGTAACTAAGTAGTAATTTTGCTTTAGGAAATCCAAAGCAACCTTTGATTTTCTTTCTTTTTTAAAAAAATGTAACAGTTTTGAGATATAACTCACACCATTACTTTTCATTCATTTTATGTATACAATTCAATGTTGTTGTTTTTTTTTAAATATATTTTATTGATTTATTACAGAGAGGAAGGGAGAGAGATAGAGAGTTAGAAACATCGATGAGAGAGAAACATCGATCAGCTGCCTCCTGCACATCTCCTACTGGGGATGTGCCCGCAACCCAGGTACATGCCCTTGACCGGAATCGAACCTGGGACCTTTCAGTCCGCAGGCCGACGCTCTATCCACTGAGCCAAACCGGTATCGGCTTTTTTTTTTTTTTTTTCAATTCAATGGTTTTTAGTACATTTACAGAGCTGTGCAATTATCAACATAATCTAATTTTAGAACAATTTTATCACTTCAAAAAGAAACCCTGTACCCATTATCAGTCACCCCCATTTCTTCCTACTAAGTAATCACTAAATTACCTTCTATCTCTATAAATTTGCATACTTTGGGTATTTCATATAAATGCAATCATACAATACACAGCATTTGTGAGTGGCCTCTTTCACTTAGCACAATGTTTTCCAGGTTTACCCATGTTGTTTACCCATCAGTACTTCATTCCTTTCAATGGCTCCATATGGCTCCACTGCATGGACATACATTAGAATGACCTTTCATCAGATGACAGCATTTGTGGTGTTTCCACTTTTTAGCTATTATGAATGATGCTGCTAGGAGAACTCACGTACAAGTTTCTGTGTGCCATGCTTTCATTTCCCCTGGGTACATCCCAAGGAGTGGAACTGCTAGGTAAGGCAGTAACTTTATTTTTGGAGGAACTGCCAGACTGAAATCTGCACTGCCTGTGTGTTTGTAAATAGACAAAGAAGTGCTGCTTCTGCTATCAAGGCTGTTATTTTAAGCTAGTCAGGAGCTTGTGATTTAAGGGACAATATTCAAAATAACAGCAAGTAGGTCAAGTTCTGAATAATCTGCAACTGTATTGGAGTGAAATGACACCCTGCCCCTGCTCCATACTTTGCATATCACAAGTTACTTTTAACAAAAAATTGTCAATAAAAACTTATTCACAAAATAATTTCTCTTCAAAGCTATGCTAGCTGATACTGACATACACATATAGAAAATATGTTAAAAATAAAGTAGTGAAAGTATTTCAAGAAAACTTATGGTTCAAAATTCCTGCTTTAAAGCCTGTGATACCTGTAATGTAAACATCAAATTATTTAGTTTGTATTAGAGTGATGCCTCAGGTGAGGCCTAAGATAGAAATCTTTGTTGATTAATATATAAAGATGCTATTTCACTGCCTGATCTGCTGAGTAGCTATATAGAATTATAAAAAGGTTACTTGAGGAAATGGGTTCTAAAAAAGCTATGAAACATGAAAATCATTAAATGTGGAAAAAAAATGTTTAAGTAAACACTGCTAGTAGTTCTGGAGTATTATTTCACAGCAGGCAACTATTGCACCAAGGGGACTAATTTAGAAGCATTTTCTAAACTAGCCTTAGAGTTGGGCTAACAATAAATGATAAAGAGGTCTCCCCATCAAATTCAATCTTCACTATTAGGCAAAATCCATTATTAAAGAAATAAACAAAAAATGATAATTAAAAATGAAGGATCTAGAAGAAACTAAATTTTTAAATACATTTTCTATAGTAAATAGTTTTTAGTTTGCTTTCCTTACCATTTAATTAATCCTATATTATTTTCTAAAACAGATATTCTTCTCACTTCCTGAAGTTTTCATATATTTTGCCCTTAGGCTGAAAGCTTAACCTGTGCTAAAAATAAACACACATGCCCCCATATGTTTCCTATTTAGGTCACACAAAGTTGGAGCATCTAGATGTGCCAACTAAGAATCTGACTCTAGTCAGTATGATGACAGTGCAAAAAACACCTCAATCAAAAATATATTATTACATGCACACCATGTAGTTGATTGAAGATATATAAATATATCTTGCCACTGTTCCTACTTAATTACATGTACTATTTAAAGGAAATAAAATTAGATGAGAATACTCAATATTTAATTAGTATACCTCAAATGTGAAAGCAATTTGTGATAATGGGGAAAAGGATGCTGCACATAGATGATGCACACTCCTATATAATAAAGAGGTAATATGCAAATCAACCCTCATACCCTCACAAGATGGCTGCCTCTATCGAGGCCAGCAGGCAGGTGAGCGATTAGGAGCCAGAGCCCAGGATTGTGAGAGGAATGTCTGACTGCTGGTTTAGGCCCAATCCTAGGGACATCCCCCAAGGGGTCCTGGATTGGAGAGGGTGCAGGCTGGGCTGAGGGGACCCCACACACACACGAATTTCGTGCACTGGGCCTCTAGTTAACTAATAAAGGCAATGCCAATAAGACTGTCTGAGCAAAGGAGACTCCTTCATTAATATGAAATAAAAAGTATACATATTGGCCTAATTATATGCTAATTATATGCGCAGATGGTCTAAGATGTTTTAATTACTTCCAAGGTCTTATACTAGTAAGTTGATATAACTGATCAGTATATCTGCTCCTGCATATGTATTTGTACTGACTCTGGTTCAGAAAAGGGCAGGGGCACAAAATATTATAGGGAAGATCAGCTTCTTCCACCCTGGCAATCTGACAACGATTTTAGCTACAGAAGCTTATCACTAAGACAGTGTTAAACGTTTTGATTCAGTATAAAATTATGATTATCCCATCACAACATCAATTCTAGTGTCAAGGAATATCACACTCTATTAACATAATAAGTTATGATTTGATTCTTCTAAGTAGCCTGAGACGTTTTAAAAAGAATTCTATCTTGATAAAACATATTCAGCATGACTCTGAACTTAAAATCTCTTATTCATACTTTTATTCTGCTTAAATGTTTTTTATTTTATATTCAGTTTTTTAATAGAGTATGCATAATTACTTCCCCTGAAAGTTACAAAGAAATGGGTAACTTTACCTTTTTTCTTTTCTTTTCGGGGGATGGGGGGGGGGGTGTTGCTTATAAGAGCCAGGCAGACGAGAGATAAAGATGAGAGTAATTTTTTGACTTTACTTTTTCATATTTTTTGGCTTTTGCACCATGTAAAGATATGACTCATTTTAAAAAAGCAAATAAAAATTTAAAAACATAGTCAATCTTTGCATAACTTTCAAAGGGAGATGGTAGATACTCATTGTTTGTGATCTTTAAAACAAGAAAGAGTATTTCCAATTGCTCATCAATGTTTGTCACATCTACATGAGAGATGTTCTTCTTGTCTAGACCCTCTTCCCTGTGCTCTGCGCAACTCCCCAGCACACTGACCCAGCCTCCTCAATCACACTACTAAACGCCATCTGACCCATCCTCCAACTGCCATGAGAATTACCTCATTTTGTTAGAAACTCCTTCTTGTATTCCCTTTTAGCCATTTGCAAGAAATCTAAATTCCCATGTAAGGCAGACAAGGGCCTTAGAATGTGGGCCCAGGCAACTTTCCCAGCCTTCCCTCCCACTTCCCCACCCCATTTTGAGCTTTCTCAGACCTCTGATGACTCCTCGACTTTACATGTCCTTTGAATGCCTTTGTCTCGTCTTTCTCAAGAGCCCATTCGAAGGCTTTTCTGAACCTGACCAGAGTCTAGTAACTGCCTCTGGATTACCGTACTTCTTACTATTGTTTACAGGAGGT